TGATCCACTCAAAACTGAATAAATAACCCTGCTGATGTCACCTCCAACTGCGTTTATAAATTTACGTGCACTTGCCGGAGCAAGTACATTGGAAGGACAGAAAGAAGGGCTTCTATCCGGTTTTCTGAGCATATTCCAAGAAACCTATGCCTGAAAGGAAGCAAATATTCTCAGAGTGCAATTACCAGACATATTGTTGATACCGGACATCTCGTAGAGATTTCTTTCCTTCAAAGTATTAAATAGACAAAGGACAGCAAATTTACTACGATTTGTCGAAGCGATCGCAATCAAACGATTTAAACCAGACTTATCCATACAGAAAGAGAGTGTGATTAACCTCTCACTCCTTTGGTAACTGAATTTTGATAACATCAATTAGTCATCTAATTCAGTGATCTCAACTCACTGAGCGAATCTCAACCTTATAAACTGTAAATGCTTTTGTTTTTTGTAGTTGCCATGTGAACCTACAAGCTAACCCGGTTTCTGTTAATCAATTTTTCTGTTTTCTGTCTTACCCCTCCCCCCTCTTTTCAACTTTGAAAGTGTATAAATTGATGATAACTAAAAATTGTAATGTTTTCATTCTTTTTTGGATGCGTCAATTTTATCTCTTCTCTACTACTACTCAAACATTAAAGTATGTTATTATCATTTATATAACCATTGTAATTTCAGGTAGTCTGCAGCTGATGAGAACCTGTGACATAGAATGATATCATTTTATACTGCAAATTTCGTCTTCCTTTCTTTATCGAAATTTATCAAGGGAACCAGTTGTAAGAAAGATGCATAAATCATAATAATAATTTCTACGAAAATTGAGGATCATTCAAACCTAGATGGCCAAGGTAAGGATAATGCCTGAACTCGCTTCTTTTGGACACAATAATTAGGCTTCTTAATGTGGATCCCAACGGCCAGCCTCAGCAATATTCAGTAAACGAACTCTTAAGGTGAAGTTAAGATTTGTTCGTAGGCAGTAGATGACTTTGAAAGCTGTCTCGTCAACATCAATCTTGTGTTCTGTATCCACAAGATGGGATAGAATAGCGCTATGTGAATAGATTTTGTTTACCCTTCACCTAACCACTATGCAGGGTGATGTTCGGAAATCCCACGAGAAACACGCCTAATTGTACGGTCTATGCAACTAACTGGCTCACTCCACAGAAGCAGTTGCATTGGTAGATACACATGGAAGAGGTGAAATTAGACAGTTTCTAGGGGTGGTTTTGAAGACACAGAGTAATTCAACAGCAGCAAATTTTTATTTTAGTTTCTACCCAATTAACACTTTCTACATTACGTAATTTACTAAATCAAATTCACAACTTTAATGACAATTAACTACAGCTTGACAATGATATCACCCAAAAAGAGGAAGGAGTGTAACTCTTCACTGATGAACATCTTTTCTTTTATATTATTTACAGTATTAATCAATATTATACACAAGTGACACTTCTAAATTATAAACAAAATTATTGTGATTTTTTTTAAAAAAAGAACACAACCATTAAGTTTTTTTCAAGTATAAACAAGTCGTTTGATTTGTGGTGCTATATCCTCTGGCCACCAGGCTGGTATATAGGGTATAATTTGTAATTTTATTTCATCAGTATTCCCTGTAGATGACGACAATGACGATGACGGCGATGACAGTGGTGTAACTATAAGTTTATATTGTTGTTGTTGTTCACCTGCTTCAGTTAAACGTATCAATGCTATCCCACTAACTGGATAATGATTTTGATCAATATTCATGTATATATCATCATAATTATTATTAGTAGTATTGGTAGTAATAATATTCAATAGATTAACACCTCGAATCCATCCAACTGGTTTTAATTTCGACTGGATTAATTGATAATCTTCGTTCACTTGATATATTGGGGCATTATACAAATCTCTAATTCATCAATAATACAAAAAAGAAAAGAAAAAAAGAACATAGAAGATAAGAATAAAATAGAAATAATTATCTTTATATAATGTCTGTCTGTTTGTTTTCAACATAGAACTTTGCCCTGATGTACTACAACAGTTCAAGTCGCCACACTCCCTCCTTGTAGCACACAAAGCCAGAGAAGAAATGCATAATAGAGACAGTAGACAGAGATATGAGGCAAAAGAAATACTGGTATGGAAGAACAATACATAAGTCACACGGAGTGGATGCATCTACGCTAGCCATTGAGAGCGATTTTGAGCCATATTACCGATTGTCTCCAGCCTCCATTGTTTTTTTACCGTCCCGACGAAGTCTACACCTTCCTACGTGACTGGCTTAAACTAACTGTTGTGCATTTCACTGACTGATGAAGCCATGTTTTGGTTTGACCACCTCTAGCTCTTTTCCAACCTGATCCTATGTCAGAAAACATTGTTCCTCGAGGAAGGCGATGGCTGGTCATGCGTAACACATGTCCTAACCATCTCAATCGATGTAACTTCACAGACTCGTCGATTGATTTCCCCTCCTTCGACGCCTAACCTTAGTATTGCTTACCCTTATTATTCCAATTCAAACAGGAGATACAACGCAGGCACGTACGATCAAAGACAGCTAACCGGCCTTTTCATATCTTCCACTTTCAACGGCCATGTATCACTCCCAGCCATAAAGGAGGACGGAGCGGACTGCTGAGCAGTACACACGACCTTTACATCAATTATTCCCATTATCAATTAATATTAGAACAGGACATTACATTATAAGCGAACAGTGGCATAACGATTAGAACGCTCACTGACCATGCACATGGTCCGGGGTTCAATCCGCGGCCAATGCACACCTGATATCAATGGTCGGCCTGTTAAATTTGGGCTACCGATATTACATGCTGAAAAGTCCATACTTGTACTAAAATACTGTGTGAAACCAAGCTATGGTAATAAAAATTAAAAAAAACAGTATTGTTTACGCTCGATAGCACCATCACGTGAGTAATTCCGAAGTCTGGCGGTGTGTATTTCTTTTTTTTCTGGACACAATGAAGACCAGCATCCATTGAGTGTCGTCATCTGGACATGTGCTGGAAAAATGTCATCCCAGAGGTTTCTGTTCGCTAGCCAGCCCTGGGACGACGGGATGGAAAAAGTAAGTGGAGGTGGTCAGCCCATGTTGTGGCATCATCGGGATGAAGGATATTTGTTGTAGGTTAGTATCGGTTAGTGCATGACAACTTCCTGGTTGGAGTCTGATGACAGATAGCTCAAAACGTTATCGGATATCGCCAAGAATTGCAATCACTAATGGTGAACGTGCTGTAATTTCCTTCTTTCTTTCTTTCCTTTTCGATGATAATTGACAAATGTTGTTTGACCTTGTTGAATATGATTGTTTTCCTTCTAGATGAAGTGTACTTTATCCCTTCTCTGTCTATATTTTTACTTTTAATCTATGTTGTTTTATTATTACTATTATTATTTTGTGACGCATCTTTTTGGTGCCATATTATACTAAGTTTTTTTGTGTTTAAATAATAAAGAAATAATTGTTTTTAAATTACATCTCCTTCAGGCTTTTTAATCCAGTTTACATAGCTTTACATATAAAAATTTTTAACCAATGACGGTGATTTTGTGTGGATCAAATAATAATAATGTTTTATGTGTTTTGGACGTCAGTATTAAAGATGATTATCATGATAACAAAAATAATGAATAATAAGGTTTATGTAGGCGACGTTAAGAATAACGAAGGTAGTAATGTGGTGGTGGTGTGATACAGACAATGTGTTCCAACGGAATAGTATTCTCACAGTAGAAATCCCCGGCCGATAGCTGCTACCTTGACATGGTGGTCGGGCTTGCATATCGCAATGACCCAACGAGCTACACTGGCTGGAACTTATGTTCCTGTAGGTCCTACCATGCCAGAAAGGTTGTTTGGATAGCGGTTAGACAAAAAGCAGTTAGCCAACCCAATCCTATGACTCAAAATAAATCACAAAATATCATGCCGGATCGGTCGGGGCCCGGATTACCAACGACCGCACTTCCTGCTGCCGTGTCACAGGGTAGAAGTGATAAATATGCTACTGAAACACACCAAATGAAAAAGAACAAACAAAAACAGGCCACGTGTGACCGGCCTCAAGCAGTTGTCCCCTGGGCTCTGCGGTCACGCAACACTAACCTTTTCTCTATTTCAGGTACGCGAAGACTCAACCAACTTCCACGATGTGGGCAGCCGGGAAGTAACAACCGCCCACACACTTCCAAAAGCACACGAAGCCTACCGACCGACAGTAGAAATCATTGTATATGTTGGTGCTAACTTCGTCTGAATACTGTTCCCACAATACAATAGTGCATTGCAATGTGTTCCAACGGAATAGTATTTTTACAGTAAGAATCATTGTATTTATTAGTGTTCACGTCCGAATACTGTTCTCACAGTTCAATACTGTATCAGCAACAGAATGCTATATGTATATTTCATTTCATTTGATGTAAGCCAAAATCACACCCTCAGTGATTGGTTAAAGAATATAAAACTGTTTAGATATAAATAGCGGTTTCGTAAATGGATATCTATATCAAACGAGACAGTAATATCACGTACAACATCTCCAAGCAACGAGCTGGGTGTCCAAGATGATCTGTAGGAGATCCTGTGATGACGAGGAAATGAAAGTAATCTTGGAGCCAGCTAAACAAGACTACAGAAGAACAGGGTGGATTAGAGATGTGCTGCTGAAGACGTGTGTTCCACTCTGAACCCAAGAGAATAATAATAATATCGACAGCGCCAACCAATGTCATCGTCAGGGGGGGTTCTGTCCTTACATCCGACTTAGTAGATCCTGCTGATCACGACTTCTCCCTACCTAGAACTGAAGAATTCCATCGCGTAGTCAGACAATAAACTAATTTCCAATTGGGAACTATTGAATTAACCTGAACGCCGACAGAGTAATGAAGGATAAGTAAATATATATAAACAGAATATTTCCAACCAAAAAACAAAAAAAAAAACAACTCACTTTAATATATTCGGTGATTTTAATACGTCTGCATTGCCTATTGATATTATTTTAACTGGTACATATCTTCGACGTATAACTCCAGTGAAGTGTGTACGTGCTGTCAACTCTTGACCAATATAACATCCTTTCGAGAAACTAACTCCACCGGATAAATCAGTGTTTGCTTCAAACGGTAAAGTATCATTTGTAATGAATTCTTCAACACCTTCCGGTAGACCTAATTTCCAACGTGCTTGATGATATAATGCCAAATCAAGTGGTGCTGTATCACATGATGGAAAGATATTCTGTACTGTGAATATTTAAAAAAATAAGAAGTTATATAAGGCGTAATTAATATCACACATACTTAAAAAAAAATAATAACAGGAACATTTTACTTAGCACATACTGCAAATGGTTGAAAGTCTGTCTGTCTGTCTGGATTCCACATAGAACTTGGCACCGAAGTGCAACAGTTCCAGTTGCCACGTCCCAAATAGTTCACAAAGGTAGACAGGAAAACGCGTGAAGAGAATCAATAGAGTTTTGACAAGTACAAGAGTGAAACAGAATGAGTAATGGTAGAAAGGAATATGAAAGATTAAAGAGACTGAATACATCTGCGTAAGCCATTGACAACGATTTTGAGCCATGTCACCTATTGTCTCCAGCCATTGATTCTTAGAGTCCCGAGGGCGGGCCCCAACCCGGAAGTCTGCATCTCCCTACCTGACTCAGTTTAACTGTCAGGGATTTCATGGATTGATGAGGCCATGTTTTTGTTTGGCCACCACTTACTCTTTTCCAACCTGCACCTATATCAGCTAGTAATGCCCGTCGGGGGAGGCGATGGTTAGGCATGCGCAGCACGTCACCTAGCCATCTCAATCTATGTAACTTTATAGCCTCTTCGATTGATTTTCCCTCTTTGCCCAACACTCTACGCCTAACGTCAACATTACTTATCTTATTATACCATCTAACGTGAGAAAGAGATCGTAAACATCTATGATCAAAAACAGTCAACCTTTTCATGTCTTCAACTCGTATTGGCCATGTTTCAGAGCCATAGAGAAAGACGGAGCGAACTGCTGAGCAGTACACACGTCCCTTGGTTGATAGCCGGATGTCACGCCTACGCCAGAGACGGTGTAAGTTAGCGAAAGCAGCCCGAGCTTTTCGGATCCGTGCTGAGATTTCGTCACCAATCAATACATTGGTGCTGATACAACTTCCCAAATAGGTGAAGTGGTCAACATGCTCTATCACTTCACTCCCTATCACTAAGCTAGGAGTTGACGTAGTCCAGTCCTGTAGCAGCATCTTACATTTTACAGGGGCGAATCGCATGCCAAACATACGAAGATTGCTGCTCAAGGTGTTCAGAAGACTTTGCATTTTGTCAGCATCCTCCCCTAACAGAACTATGTCATCTGCATATTCTAAGTCCATAAGACTATTCCCTGGTTGAAAGTAATCGGTAGAAAGCCCTTCTGGGACCTAAGTGTCGTACTTGTTGGTATGTGTTACAGCAGGGCACATCTGAAACCTTGAAGGGACTAATGGCCCCTCTGGTATTCAAATCCGTGTCACCCAGTACTGAAGTTAGAGACTTTATCACTGTGTTATTTGGCCTCACAATCGACCTCTGCTGTAGAATATCCCTCTACAAACGACCTGGTACGGTCGAAGGTTGGTAGACGTTAATCTTCCTCTAGAAGTCCTCTCTTGTGGACAGGCTTTCATAGCCTCCGCGAATTGAGTCTTATTCACTAAATTCATACAATCCGAGTGTTCCTCACAAAAGTGAAGGGATGAATTCAAACGTCTACTGTCTACAACCGGACTGGTGGACATTCAGGTCTACCTAGGAGAGATGGAAAGGCCTGATTATTGCAAAACCCAAGGTGTATATGGGCGGCCGAATCCGAATGTGGTGAATAGCATATGAACCTCTTTTGGTTACCGGGTAACCAATATCATGAGTTTAGCCCTTGATGTTAATGCCGACTAAATTCCATCATTGGTAGTAATTCCACCTTTCATAGTGGTTAGCATTTATATTCATCCTGGCTTGAGCTCCTAAGTTGCATCTAGTTGCAGAATGCTAGTCAAAAGTGATTGTCATTTTGATAAGAATACCATCACCAATCAATCGGTCCTCACCAATCCAACACTTGTTGGAAACTAATCTATTGGTTATTAGTGACTTCCTGAAGTTCTAGTTAGAGGTTATGACCAGTTACGTCCACCTACTTGGGTGTCAAACAGACGCTTATCGATGGCACTAGTTGGTCAGTCAGTCGGTTTTCGACATAGAACTTTGCACATATGTGCGGCAGTTCAAGTCGCCACACTCCCTCCATGTAGCACACAAGGGAAGAGAAGAAATGCATAATATAGACAGTAAACAGAGGTGTGAGGCAAACGAGTAGTAATAACGAAGAAAAAAACAGTTTATTTGGAAATCATAAGTCACAAGGAGTGGATGCATCTGCACCAGCCATTGAGAACAATTTTCAGCCATATCACCAATTGTTTCCAACCATTGGTTTTTACCGTTCCGAGGACCCCAACTAGGAAGTCTACACCTTCCTACGTGGCTTAGACTAACTGTTGTGTTTTTCATTGACCGGTGCCATGTTTTGGTTTGACCGCCGCTAGCTCTTTTCCAGCCTGACCCTATATCAGCTAACATTGCCCGTCGAGGGAGGCGATGACTAGGCATGCATGCATAACACATGTCCTAACCATCTCAGTCGATGAAATTTCACAGTCTCGTCGACTGAATTTCCCCGCCTTACCTAGCATTCGACGCCTAACCTCAATATTGCTCACCTTATTATACCACTTCACGGAGGAGATGGAACGCAGACACCTATGATCGAAGACAGCTAATCTTTTCATGTCTTCTGCTCTCAATGGCCAGGTCTCACAGTCATAAAGGAGGACGGAGCGGACTGTTGAGCAGTACACACGCCCTTTGGTCGATAGTCGGATATCACGTCTACGCCAGAGACGGCGTAAACTGGCATATGCGAAACTAGCCCTTTGTATTCGTGCTGAGATTTCGTCGGAGATCAACCCGTTGGCGTTGGGGCTGATGGTACTTCCCAAGTAAGTGAAGCGGTCAACGTGCTCTACCACTTCACTTCCTATTTCTAATCTAGGGGTCGGTGAAGTCCAATCCTGCAGCATCATCTTACATTTTACAGGGGCGAATCGCATGCCAAACATACGAAGATTGGTGCTCAAGGTATTCAGAATACTTTGCATTTTGTCAGCGTCCTCGCCTAGAAGGACTAAATCGTCCGTATATTCTAAGTCGACGATGGCATTAGTTGACGCTGGTACTATACCACGAATTGACAGGAGTTAGAATTCATGGGCCGTTGACATCCACTATCCCAGTGGTTGGATGGTGACGTGGTCACCTCGTAACCCAAATGTTATGAGTTCAATACCTGGTAAGATCATAAGTGCATGCTGTTAAGGAGTCCCGGACTGGGACGAAATAGCCATCCAATACTCCCTGATTTTTCAGTGATTCTCTAAATGATATCCATTCGTAAGGAGATCAGGTTTTCACCAACCTAACACTTCAGAATTTTTCAAAACCCTGATATAATAAGGAGACTTCCAGTTATGCATATATACAAATTATGTAAAAAGAAAGTTTTATATTTAACTAAAGTGCCTCGGTGGCACAAGGGTAGAATGCTCGCCAATCACGCAAGCGGTCCGGGCTTCAATCCCCGGCCGACGCACTCCTTTACAATAGGACTGGTAAAGAGGAAAGGTTGGGAATGAGGTTAGCAACACCATACGGTAAAAATATACACCAGTGTTACAGAAATTTCAAGCCTCTAGCTTGAAACCGTATGTTCCACTGGGAACGTGAAGGAATTAAAAATAAAATATTTAACTAGTTTTTTTCTTTTTCTTCGACAATGTTTGTCAGTTAGATCTAGAGTGTCATTCAAAAAATAAACTAAATAAAAAATGTATCATTGATATAAGAATAAAACTTGGGCACTGTGGTAGAGTGTAATTCCATTATGGGTAAATTTTATTTTGATAGAGTCTCACAGTGTTATACAGTAATATTTACTGATGACGTTTCGAGCACAATTTATTGCTCATAATCATATCAAGGTGAAAATGTTTCACATCATGAGAAATCAAACTAATCTATGGACTAGATATTGAATTAAATCACCAGTATTTTACTAAGCTAGGTTAAATAAAAATAAGATGTATTTGATTAGATTCTTTTGTACGTACAAAAGTGAAAGGTAGAACATGTGTACGTAATATTTAGAAGCTAATCATTTAGTGCGAAACCTGTATACGTCACTTTCACTTACTGGAGAAGTTGCATCAACTGATTGCAGACAAAATCTTAGCACATATATACTAAAGGTTGTCGTAACATTTGCCAACCTATGGCATCTTCAGCACAGACATGAAATCCAGCTGACTATTAATCGGAAGACGTGTGTCCTGAGCAGAAGTCTGCTCCGTTCTCCTTCATAGCTGAGAGACATAACCATTGAAAGTGGAAGTTATCAAAAGATTAGCTGTCTTTGATCATAGGTGTCTGAATTCTATCTCCCGTGTTAGGTGGTATAATAAGATGAGTAATATTGAGGTTAGGCACATAGTACTAGGGTAAGGCGGATGAGTTAATCAATGAGGTTGTGCTGGTGAATTGATTGAGATGGCTAGGACACGTACTGAACATGACAAGCAGTGTAACGACAGAAGACAAGGGCCAGGCAACAGATCGTTTATTGAGAAAATCAAGAGATATCTATAGATTTTTATGTACATTATTATTAGCGTTATTGTTAGCAGAGAAACAACGTCTTCTGATTGGTTGTTTTCTTGTTGAAGGTTATTCTGTACTACTTGTGACCGTTTCTCAGAAAGTTAAGCCGTATAACTGCAAATCCTATTTGCACACATTACGTCTACTGTGATTAGCTGGCGAGTTCCTCAAGGTTAAGCTTTGTTATTGTTTTTCTCATGACCCTGATGCGGGACGTAACATTAACGTAAATTGCTGCCTACAATTTAGGATTGCAGCCAGCTCTCACCACAGCAGTATTAACCGATATTTGATCACGTTGAAAAAGAGTTAGGGGTGATCAAACCAGAATCTGGAATCAATGCATTAAAGTCTTTTACAGTTGGTTTGAATCAGTCAAGTAGGGAGGTGTAGGCTGCCTGGTAGGAGTTATCAAGATGCTAAGAACTAGTGGTTGTAGACTACTGGTGATATAACTCAAAATTGTTCTCAATGTCGTAGAGATGTGTTCATCACTCTCTATGCTCCTCCATATCCACTAAAGTGTCAGGCTTCTTCTGCTTTATTATCATCTCTCTCTCACACACATTTCTGCTTATTATAATCCTTTCGAATTTCTTTTCCTCTTTCTATTATCTACCTTGGTGTGCTACATGGATTTTGACAACTTGAACTGTGGCACCTCTGTGAAAACTGCTTTGCTGAAACCTAGTCAGTGGTGTATTACTGATTGAGTGTGTGAGGGCTGAGATACTGCCCGGGTGCCCAGACCGAAGCAGGTGGTTGTCTTAAGGGACCACCCCCGGAGCCTTTGACTTGAAGTCTAATCCACAAGGCAGAGAAGCAGCGTCAGGAGCTAAGTTCCCATAGTTACCGGTGAACAATACAGGTTCATACGTCATTTGACCCGATTGGATTCTGGAGCCCATGTACCCCATAGTAACTGCTTTTAGAGTAAACTTCCTAACAAGGTATGACCTGAAGGGACATAAGTCTCAGCCAGTTTAATTTGTTGGGTCACACTACGGTATTCAAGTTCGACCACGACAAAAAGGTAGCAGTTGTCGGCCGAGTCGGTGCCTTACTGGGTACATAATAATAAATGCTGAAATATGGCAAGAAAAAGAGTGGACTATAATTTCATATGATTTAGTTTATTGGTCGCATTGCATACTTGGTCAAAAAACTAGGATTAGCATTTGGAAACTGATGATGGTTAGTTTAGTTAATATCCGAAAAAGACAGCCAAAAATACACACACACACACATACATACCGTTCGCATCACTTTTTGATAAAATACGTCCAGACCATCCAGGTATACCTCTAGGATCTGATGCATAAAATATTAATTGTCGTTGATCATTGAGGTCAAATAAGTTAACTGGTAACCATGCTTTGGAATTGTTCAACTGATAGGATGTTGGCATAGCAATCCATGGAGAGATTTGCAAACTAGTATCAATTTTAACCTATAAGACATAAAGGATATTCATAAACAATATTAACGATGATAATAATAGAAATAATAATAATATTATGATCATGATATGATAACAAGTCTGAATTTAGTTTTCTTAATAGCAAAAGATATTTGGTTAGCTTCCAAAATAATCCACAATTTCAAGTAGGAATGGTAAACAGGCTTTTGTCTCTTTGCGTCTCGAATGGAGGCATAGGGGTTCAAGTTTCGGTTTTGAATTTTTAGTAGCTGTGCTGTTTTCTTACGCAGTACAGTTGCTGGCCTCATAGTCAACCCTCCCATCTTTACGGGGCTTACACTAATGGTTAAGATAGGTTTAGGAGTCCACCGGCAGGGAATCAAACTACAAACCACGTGAGTAGTTTGTGAGGATTCTACCGTTGTTCCACCGATACAAATCGCTGGCTCTAAAGGGAAGTTTATCGGCAGGAAATCTTGTCTTAGCTGACTGACAATTTACACATTTTGTTTATATGAGAATTCGATGTGTTAAAGTGCAACTAACGTGTACGTGGTTATTGACTTTTGAGGTTTATCATATAGAAATCGATGAAGACGAGTTTCCAGGTGACGCCCATTATTTGTCATGTGAGAACTTTATCTCTGAACACTTTCAAAGCCTCAGTTAAGTGGTCTAAATATCGAGATTTGCTATTGTTTTCATTTAAAGCTAGTAATCCGTTTTAATGATAACGGCATCCAGACAGATTGAGTTTCGACATAGAACTTAACACAAAAGTGCACCAGTTTGAAGTTGCCATACTCCAAGTAGCATACAAGGGCAGACAAAACAGATAAAAAAAGGATTCAGAAGAATAACAATAAATAGAAATATTCGAAAGAAAACACGAGGGTTTATTGGATATGAGGTATAACAGAGAGTAAATGCATCTGCGCCATTGAGAATGATTTTCAACCATATCACCATTAGTCTAAAGTCATTGGTTCTTACCATCCTGAGAACTGTAATCAAGCAGCCTAAACTTTCCTACATGGCTTAAACTAGCTGTCGAAGATAATAATAATAATAATTTGCTTTATTCCAAAAACAGTACTAATGATACAGCAAGGAATTTTCAGCATTCAGTACAATATTGCATCTAGTTTACTCAAAAACGACAAAAAATAAGAAATAAACATTACATAATAATAATAACAAAACATTGTTATAGCAGGTATTTCACAAATTTCTGTATGCAATACGGAGAAAAATATGCATAAAGTATAAAATTGTAGTAATAATAGTAATAACAACTAAAATAAAATAGCTAAGTTGTAATTAAACGATAGAAAGGGTGACACCATAAAATTACAGAAAGATGAACAATGAAAGGGTCGATTCACTTTGCTAATTACATAGTAACTTATATGTTTCACGTCTAACAGAGTCTTCATCACATAAAATACGGGCTAAATACGGTATTTTGTACTTAGTGGTTCGAGCATATAACTTCTTATATTGACTTCTCGTCCTACCGGATGAGATACAAGGGGATAGTTGTGAATAAAGGGGGTGCAGAGGGTCTGACAGTACGGCCTTTGCCCACTTTGTACAGGAATTTATGTGTCTCTTGACTATAGTAATGGAGAGCTCACGCAGTGGCAAACCACAAGCCCTACTCACAGCATTTAATACCCTTCGTAATATAACATAGTCTTTTTTAAGAAGCCCAGGAAAGATTAATGGAGAGCAATAGAGTACAATAGGTAAAATACAGGAGTTTAGAAATTGTAGAACTAAAGGTTCTAGTTTGACTACCCCCAAACTCTTTTAAAAACTGAATTCTCTGTCGGCCAACATTTTCCATCGAGGGAGGCGATGACTCGATTGACTTCCCTTCCTTTAGTAACACTCTGTCTAACTTCAATATTACTGACCAATATCACACCAGGCTGGCTGTCGACCAAACACCGTGTGTACTGCTCAGCAGTCTGCTTCGTCCTCCTTTATGGCTGTGAGAACTGGCCATTGAGAGTGGAAGACATGAAAACGCCGGCTAGCTGTCTTTGAACATAGGTGCCTGCTTTCTATCTCCCGTGTGAAGTGGTATAATAGGGTGAACAGTATTGAGGTTAGGTGTCGAGTGCTAGGTGAGTTGAAGGGGAAATCACTAGACGAGGCTGGGAAGTTACATCGACTGAGATGGTTAGGACATGTGTTACGCATGCGTGCCTAGCCATTGCCTTCCTCGACGGGAGATGTTAGGTGACATATAGTCAGGTTGGAAAAGAGCCAGTGTTGGTCAAACCGAAACAGCCTCATCAGTCAATGAAATCTACAACAGCTGGTTTAAGCCAGTCAGTCATGTAGGAAGGTGTAGACTTCCTCACTGACTGGTTGGGGTCCTCGAGACGTAGAAACCAATGGAGACTGGAGAAAAGTGGTGATATGGCTCAAAATCGTTTTTAATGGCTGGCACAGATTCATCCACTCCTTGTGACTTACGATATCCAATAAAACTATATTGTTCTTTGATACTACTATTCTTTTTGCCTCATATCTCTGCTTACTGTCTCTATTTTGCATTTCTTTTTACTTTCTTCTCTTGCTTTAAGTTCTACATGGATTGTGACGTATATCGGTGCAAAGCTTTATGTTGAAAGCAGTCAGTCAGTCACATATTTGCTGGTTGTTGATAATTCAGACGAAAACTTTCCAAAAATCCTCATATATGTATTACATCGAGTAGAGTGATTAGTGTAGCGTAATACACATTCTCGACACTATTTTCATAACTAGACAATGCTAGAACACTTTAAGCGACGGACTCCAATGCCGTCTTCGGACCAAGAAACAGATAAAGCAAAGAAGTTCACCTTTATTGATCGGAGTGTCTGAGATGTGTCATATATGCCAAGAAACTGCCTTCACTTACAAGTGGTGTTAGCTGAAGTGGGATTAGCACGAAAAAGAGTTATAGAGTGGCTGGTGAAAGCCGTGTAACAGAGCCACTGAAAAGAAAGGCCAACCATTTGCTCTGTCTTAATGTCAGAATACGAAAAAGTAATAATACACAGTTAATGCAGAGTCGAGATTAAAGTAGTTAGGTCTGATAACAACTTTATTCCACGATAAAAGTTATCACAACCGACCTAAACAGGTTCTGTTCAAGCCATTTAATCGAGGGCCTTCAAAAAAAAGAATTTGCTTAACCATTTATGTATGAGACATCACAACAAAATCTTCACTGAAGATATTTAAAGGCAAAGCACAACATAAGCATTCAAATAAACTTACTTTTCCGCGTAAATTATATCGCGACAAGTGTTTCACAAGTTCAGGGGCATAAGCCCTATCAACCTCGATGATATAATTAGATTCACCCGGTGATAATCGATCAGTATGATAGATAAACGTGTCAGTTAAAACTCGACCCTAGAATACACAGACATAAAGAAAATACAGTCTTATTATCTGAACAGGAAAGAAACGAAGTAAATTATACCTTAGAATTTAAGAATAGAGAATAGACGAAAGAATTCGGTTGACTTATACACTTGATATCATTGGTGATAAGACCTTGTAAAAATTCATCTGCTGATTTACCATGAAGGCATATTAGACTTTTTTCTTTCAATTGTCCAATACTTAATAAACGTTTAGACAGGTAGGTGACGTAGCGAAAACATTGTCTGCTACTTAAGGTTATCATGTGATGTATCATCGAAGTCACAACAACCTGACCTAAAAATGAAATATAAACATGATTTAAATGTTACTTGGTACAAAAATATAAAATAATAAAGCTCTATTTCTTTGTAGAAAAGGTAATACTAACAGTAACAATGAAAGTTGGAGAATTGCTGCTAGTTGTTGTGATTAAATAACTTACACAACCAGTGAAGTGGAGAAATAAATCAAATAATAAGCTAAGACGGAATCAAGCAACCACGCTTACATTCAAAAATTGAGGCAAATGTGAGCTGAACATACTACCGAAGATGAGCTTTAGAATTGTGACCCACTGGTTAGCAGTCGAATTCTTAAACCAGTAAGCTATGGTTCTAGAAGATATAATTATTTCCATGAAGTGATGACAGCAATTAGATAAACTTACCTGAACGTATCAATCGCATCACCGTTTACATCTGAAAATGTCACTCTTTAAGTGGTTCCACTATGTGAAAACCAAGAGTTATTGGATTCTGGACACCCCATCAGACCCACAACTTCACCAACACAAAATGTAATGAGAACTGTGTGTAGGTACTATTGATCAGGTAGTGTTTTGGATATTTGATTTCTATCCATTTCATCCTACGGTTTCCGTAAATGAATAAGTTATCCAGCCATTATCTGAGTATGGTCTGTTTCCATGTAGACGAATATAAACTAAACTCTTGAGTTTAACTGTACTACAATTATAATTTGATTAAGCGAGTCACTAATACTCAGAATTAGACCAAATCGTCAGAATTCACATATAAATATCACGTTAAAAATAAACAAGACATCGCTCAGTGGAAGTAATACAACCAAACGATGTATAGTCAACAGAGAAGGGTTGACCAGATAAAAAACACATAAATTACAACACAGATGAAGTATAAGTCAATCTAGCTGGAGCAGTGTAATACATACGATGTTGCATGTGTCACCGGTTGAACGGCCAAGTCTTTGACAGTAACAATGAATGGTGCCCTACAATGGATGCAGCTGCAAAGCAAACAAAATGAGTTCGAATGCACAGGATTTTGTCTGAATTTAGTGACATATGATATATATGATTGTCCATTGGTACTTACTGCTGCTTAAAGTTAAGCTTTACCATATATTTTAGGTGACAGTATTTGCTAGGCTAATTTTAAGGTTTTATTATCCGAATTAATACAGAAACAATTCGGAGGACTCACGATCAAATAAGCAGTAGCGCACTGTTTAAAAACAGACAAATTTTTAAAATGTTTCAATAGGTGATCGTTGGAAGTGAATAAAACTCACTAATAATATATGCATAGCGCTTGGTGAGCAAGATAAATATAAATGATAATATTTAGGTTGCTAAATGGCATTTGCGATACGACAATCTGGATACTCGAAAGTCTAGAATGGCTGATGCGTTAACTCATTTTGTGGATCTGTCGATTGTAGTTATAGCGGTAGGTAATTCCCCAGAATTATTGGCCACAGTATTCATCGCTGAACATTGGATGCTGACCCTCACTGTTTTAGTCGATTTGTTTGACTGAAGGCTTCTGGTCAAGCATCCATGCCATTTGGCTCACCGTCGTATTACTTTCGTTCGTACACGACTCCTGGTTTGTGAAGCACTCATCTCTCACTCAGATTTGGTCCCTAAATATAATTCGTAATTTGGACACTCAATTCTGGTTTTTCGCCTTGCCTACTATAGACGTTTCGAGTATGAGATCTGGCCTTAGTATACTTCGTACTACCCGTCAGCGTCAACACCCTCAGCTTCTAAGCAGTAAATGTATGGGCGAAATGTTGGTGTGGGGTAAGAGGGTTGTCTCTTCTTACCAGTACATGAATTGATCTAAATTCTGTGGCTGAGTGAATGAATTCAAGGGAATCGAAGGGGAATATAACAGTTTATTCTAGGCCACATGTTTCAGCTGCAGAATACTCACCAAACTTCCAAATGCCTGGCTGACGCACTCCTAAACTTCGTTTAACCGGTAGTTAGTTTAATAAAAAGGTGCGTTGAGCTTGAGACTCGCGACTTCACCCCCACCTCCTTGAAAAAATAATATGACGACTACTACCGAAGCTTCAAAGCTCAAAGCTTAGAGCTGCGTTTCCCACTCAGGACCCAAAGTAATGAAATAGGTAATTCTGGACCATACAGAACGCGGTTGGTGAGTTTAAATGTAGCTTGCTCCCTTGAATCAAGACAATGGGCGGTGATCATTCCTAGTAGGCAAACACCACCAAGCAAAGGCTAACACAACTGGACAGATTTCAGATAGCCGTAGCGTGTTGTGTGTAAAGGTATTTCGTTTAATAGCAGCAATGTCTTTCTTCTGGTAGCCAAGATGTTGGTACTTTAGCCATATCTTCACGCTCACCTCCATTTAACATGATTAACTTCAAGTGAGGAAAACTCATCCAGGACAATATTCGCACTTCCCCGGAACAAACTGAATGTCTGTCAAGAAGTGACGATTTTAATCCCACTCTCTAGTTCAAAATAGGGCATTTTTGTTTGACAGTCTTCTGATCACTTAACAATTTAGTTCGTTGTTAGTACAGACTGTGCAATCAAGAAATAGACGTCAGCTTGTAAAATATGAGGCTGTGAGGTAATTAACTGAACCTTTTTCCCAGATTTTTAGACAAGAAAACGAATAGGTTGAAGGTTGAATACATCTTCTATAGCCAACTCTGATGCATCGAGATTTAGACGTGATGAAATGAACTCTTGTCTGTCACCATGTGCGGAAGAAAACGTGTACGAAATTTTCTCAAGTAATTTTGCTGCGGGGTCTCTACAACACAGGATAGGAAATAAATCCATAGCACAGTCACTGCAAAGGAGAGATAAACAGAACTGTTACTTCGTAGCAGTTGGATGTCTATGTTAAATAGCACTAATACTAATGGTTAGAAACAGGCATTGACGAATTTCTCTCTCATACTGTTGGTCCGGGTATTTCTGTCCACTGGATGCATGAACTGTAGATTCAATCGGCCCCCAAGACGAAAGATTTTTGGGAGTTTCTGAGTGTTATTGGCTTGGCGTAGTCTGAAGAGACAAGATCGTTGTACATATGAATAACTGCGAACATGCTTATTCCATATTTATAATTTAACAGCTTGATGCGTTATTTTCACTGTATTCGTTGTCTTCGTGGCGATTCAACTCATCAACTAAAGTCATAATTCCAGTCGACCTCAATTCTCAACTCGTTCATGAAAAACAAATGACTGATTAGAAAAGCCTAAGCACATCTCCGATATTATTGGGGAAGTCGTTTCCGCTGAAAAGCTGATTTAGGATCTCTGCAACACATGATGCTATGAATATTCAGAAGTAATTAGGGGTTAAGAAGTTAGAAGGATTAGATGGTAGTGAACCTAGCGACTAAGTATGTTTATGCGCCCAACTAAAAGGGATAGAACAAATACTTACATGCTTATCGCGCGCGCTCCTTGAATACGACGTGACTTTTCCTCTCTAACCGGAAAATACCTATTTTGTGAATTATCCGCTTGGGAAACCTGATCTTCCTAGCCGGTGAATTAAATTCAACCATTACTTACATATCGAATCTCTGTGTGGTAAGTCCAGCTGTCTCGAACTACTGCCAAAGCTTCAGGTGCTATTTTTGTAGCAGCATCTTCCCCACTCGTTCAGATAAACAAGACTTGTTGGTCTACCACGTGATTGCTGTGAAGCCGATCATCCAGAAAGTACTAGGTAAAGTCGAAAACCTTTTCTTTTCCTTGTCTTTTACTTTTTCAGTCTTATTCTTTTTCTTGTGGGTAGATACTGTTGCACTCTTATTCTTATACAGCATAAGTTTTAGCGATAGTTAATATGACTGTAGAAAGTAACCTTAGAAATGGCACCAAAACACCTTACTCTGTAGTCACAAGGGCTTCAGCCAGAGAAGGCAAAAATGCAGGGACACCAACCCCAAATTGCATACCCATCCTAAAGACCCGTGTAGGACTCGTCTGTCCGGATACTATGCCTGCAGCGCCACAGTCTAGTACTGAAGCGGCTCAGGCAATACTAGTAGGACAGGATACTACTACACCTGCACCAACTGAAAGCCAATGTGTGAAGTACAACAAACCTAAAAGGAAACGCTCAAGACGTCATAAGACCTCGAAGGCGTCACCAAGTAAGGGAGACGAGTGCCAGGCGTGCAATATCATTGTTTCTAAAGCTGACTCAGCTTTCGAATGCAATTTTTGCAAACGGTGGGTGCACTGCCGTTGCGACAAAGAGGTACCGAAATCATACTACGAGTTTATGAGAAATAACCCATGCCCGTGGTTTTGGTACATCTGTCCACTCTGTCGCCCTGGTGTAGTCACACAGAGCGTGTCTGCGGTTAGCAGAAACAACACGCCGCCCTTGTGTCCCAACACGGTCTTATGTAGCTCCCCACCTGCTAACGTCACATTGCCAAAACTTGGCACAGACAGTAAGAAGGACACTCCTGTCCTACTGACCGAAAATGCCAATTTTCACAAGGTGAAGATTCATAAGGTTGGACCTAAAAAATCAAGGAAAGATAGAGTTAGAGAAGCACCACTTGCATCCACAAGCAAGCTTGGCAACATAATAAAGGCTGGTCAGAACCCGATGAAGCCTAAAGTTGGTGATGCTGCAAAGGAATATGAGAAGCCAAAGGCCAAACCTAAGTCTGAGGTTAATCGGTCTAATTCGCTCATCCTCTTTAACGTACCTGTGAGCAAGGACAGCTTGCTTGAACAGCGGGCCCTGTTTGATCAGGAACAGTGGTCCAACCTGTGCAATAAACTAGGTCTGAATATTAGTTCAGTGAAATTGTGCAGGCTGTACAGGGGTGTCCACACACCTCAAGGTAAGCCACCCCCATTACGGGTTACACTGGACTCTGCTGAAGAGGCCGAAAAGGTACTATTGATGGCTCAGGTACTAGCCATCGACAGAAGCTCTAACATAAGGGTGAGACAAGACAGACCATGGGCTGTCAGACAAATGGCAAGGGAGTCACCGGAACTTTTGCCTTCCACCTCTATGGTAGTGCACGGTGTCCCGGAGCTGGAAACGGGCACTGCCTGTGAAAAACACATGCATGACGTACAGCAGTGGAGATGGCTGTCGTCTCAGATGGCCCTTGGCGCTTCTGGAGCCATCTCCGTTTACCGACTACCTCGCCCCGCTCATCTCACACTGATTAGCTCCCCAAGGCTGCTTAGTGTCACATTCAACTCCCCAGAGCAGTTGGCCATAACACTTCAACGGTGGTATGAGATCAAGGGGAAATTGGGAGGAAACATCCGATGTTGCGAAAGCAAACCTCGAACCATAAGGAGGCAGCAAACTGAGGCTTTAATACGTCCCCAAGCTTCAGTGACACTCGAGCGATGCAGTTCTGAGAATAACAGTCTGTGCCACTCAAGTGTCCTGCCTAAATCCAAGGGAAAAAACCACAATGGGCCGGTTCCATCGGAACTGGCCAATTAGCCCCAACACTAAGTTCTCTACCAGCAGATAGCTTCACGTCAACTACCCCACAACACGCTGAGGTTGTAAGACTCACTGTCAGCTGCCTGTATAGCAATGTGAGGGGGCTGAGAGTAAAAATAGGTGAACTCCGAAATCTCCAAGCACACCTACAACTGAAAATAATCATTCTCACCGAAACATGGCTAACCCCCACTATCGCCGATAATGAAATCAGTATAGGTGATATGGTTTTGGTCAGGAGAGACAGGGACAATAAGGAAGGAGGGGGAGTTGCCATATACTTTGATAGGCAACTTAAATGTGTTCGCGCAACGGACCCACCACTTATTGAACTCGCAGACTCCATATGGTGTCATTTCACCGTAGGCCACACCAAGCATTTACTTGGTGGCATCTACCGATCTCCCACCTGTGGGGCAGAGCACAATCAGCTACTGCTCAGCACTATCACAGGGATACGAGACTTGGGCTATGACCAAATCACCATTGCTGGAGATTTCAATGCCCCATCACTGAACCTTGGCTCGGGGTATGCTAAGGGAAAATTCGGCCGAAATCTACTGCAAGCTATTCGGGACACGGGACTGACTGAGAGTGTTGGAGACGACACTAGGTGGGGCCCTAGTGGAAAGTCATCAAAACTAGACTACATTCTAACTAGTGACCAACTACTCGTCGAAAAGGTCCAGGTCATGACTCCTCTAGGAAGTAGTGACCATGCAGTCATAGGTTTCGAC